GTAGAGAAGCAAAAAAAAAAAAAAAAAAAAAAAAAAAAAAAAAAAAAAAAAAAAAAGAAAAGCCAGAGATTCAGAAGAGAACTCAGAGTAAAATAGTACAGAAACAAATTCTAGGAGACAGGAGTGAATTTGAAAGTTAGAAAAGTCAAAATAATTGCAGGTGAGTTTAAGGGAAACATGTTTTATTCTATGTTATATCATGTGCCTAATTCCTTAGAAACCAAACAACAGCCATTCTTAAGACTGCTGATCCTTACTTCTTTCTAATCCCTAAGTTTCTAAAGTTGAAGAAGAGGGAAAGAATAGCTCAGAGTACAGAAGGATTTTGTATAATACAACAGCCAACATTTTGCTACACGTATCTTAGAGCTCGGCTTCAGATCAACTCTTAGAGTCATAGCTAAATCATAATCCTGGTAATCTATGGATTCCATTAAAAAAAGTAACTTCTAAAACTCCTAACTAAAGATCGAGAATACTTCCATTGGCCACTGTAGGAAACCTGGAAACCTAATTTCTAAAGTTTAAGAAGCATTTCTTTTTCAGAGGTCATGCTATTTGAAAACATCTTTTCCAACTTCACAATAGGAAATGATAGCCACTTGTGTCTATCTCAATACTTTCTTGCCATAACACCTATTGGTAAACTCAAGCCCTAGAAAGACCACAAAATTCCCTGCTACTGCATCCATGGGCTCTTTCAAGCAAAATGAGTAGAACAGCCTATTGATCATAAAGCAATATAACAAATACATATCCCTAAAAAAAGTGAAGTACTTTTCAATAATACAAGCCAAAAACTCAGCTCATATGTACAAAAGTAGGCCAAGAATTTATATATTCTACAAGAATAAAGAATATATATATTCTTCAAGAGGAGGCTTTCTTCCTGAAGTTGGGAGGAAAGAGGGGGAAACAGAGACATGAAAAAAAAAAGTTATCATACATTCAAGGTATGTATCTCCATGTTCTAATAAACACCTGCCCAGTGTCAGCCATACCTCATCCAGCTCTCACTTGCACTACCCAAACTTATGAAGTTGAAATGCAAGCCATACTTTTCATTGTTTTTCCTCTTCCACCACACTTACGACGAATGGAAGGTATCTCAGGAAACAAGGAGTTGAATTCTACAGGAAAACTCTTGATTGATCAAATAATAGCAAAGGTAGATATAATTGGTAGCCAAAGATAGGTTTTAATATAAAATAAGCAGTTTCTGATGGTTCTTTACTTACTTAACTACTCCTCCCCACAACAAAAAGTGCTACAAATATTTGCTTATATTTGCATGCAGAAAAGCTTCTGCCACAAATTTCCTAGGACTCTTCTCCTTAAGAGTCTCAAGCCTCAGCCTCTGAGAAGACAGATCCTGAATCAAAATAAAACCAAAAAATAAAGATGAAGACCAGAAAGAAATAGGAAGAACAAAGAACATCTAATAACTTCTTACTTGTTCATTCCACCTCTCTAAACTTGTTTAGCCTCTAACTCCTCTCTGCCATGATCCATTGATTTGGCTACTATGATAAAATATTCCCAATCTCTCTAGGCAATTCTAATTTAGACAGACGCATCCTGACATAGTTCTATTTCTTCCTCTATGACCCAGATGAAACCTTTTGACAGTCCTTGGAACCCTCAATTCCTCCTTCCAAATTCCTGCTCTGTGGGCCTAGAGTTATGGGTGGAGACAAACTATGAATAGTATTGTGGAAATAGGGGAGTTAAAATAAAGGAATTCCAGTAATTGGGCTCCCCTCCATCAACATCAGGCTATTTTTCTTTATTCCCTACAGAATTTAACAAGTAAAGTAGAAAACAATAGGCTGACATATAGATGAGAGGCTGTAGCAAAGAACTACCCCCAAACTTTTTAGGAATACTCCTATCTTTCCACTGGTTGTAGGTACTTAAGTCTGGAATGTATCTTTGGAAGATGTCTTGTGTGTAAGAATGTATAAAAGATAACACCTTGCAAAAGTCAAACATACAGATTTAATAATGTGCAACTAATGAAGATGGTTTATAAATGAAATACCACCTACACATTTAGTTCCCTAAATATATGATGATATTAATCATTAAAGTTAGGTATATAAGTACAAGTTTTCCATATGTGGAAAAGTAAATCTGTTTTTAAATTAAAGAGGAATTATCACTCTAATCCTTAAAAATAAAACTATTAGGGTATAATTCAAGTGTAGCTGCTCATAGTCACTGAATAAATTTAAATTTGATAAAACATTTAAGTTTCAACCAATGCACCTTTGTTGAAGCACATTTAGCTGAAATAATTTTGAGTCTGGTTTATTTCCATCACATATAGTACATTTTTCCAACAAGAGCATGTACATTCAATATAGAACATTTCCAGCAACAGTTACAGTCTTTCTAGTTTCCTTTCACAGTATATTTTAGTGCAAAGCACTGGGAAGGGTAAATGTTTTTCTAGCTATAGAAGCATTTTATTATGACCTTGTGGATCTTCAACACTTTAAAATTTTTACAAGAAGTATATAGATGGACAGGGTCCCTCCTAAGTACAGGTATGAACCTATATAAAAACATGGTATGTTCTCTGCTGTACCTTTTAAAATTATAATTTGACAAAAATTACTAAAAAATAAAATATTCCCTAAAAAGTACAAAATATTGATACACAAAAACCTGCCCAATATTTCATAAAGATAGATGTACTTCTGTTTTCCTAAAATCTTGATTACAAAAATGGACAAGAATTCATTATTTTCCAAATTTTACAGTAGGAATCAAATATCATCTAAAGTAGTCATTTAAGATTTTACTCGGGAGAAAAAACTTCAGGGTTTATACTCCCATCTTCCTTTTTTAGCAATATTTAAAGAATTAAACTAATATCATAAGAAGTGGTTGTGCATGGATTGTCTGCATCCATAAAATATCAGTAAGCTATTTACTACCTTCATACTAACATTAGTAAATGTGTGGTCTTTAAAAAAAAATATACAGAAACTGAAAAATTAAGTTGCATCTATTATTAAAGTGCTTTGTATAAAATTTAAAGAAAAAAAGGGGAATGTTTAATTTTCATAAAAACCTCAGATGTTGACAAATAAAAATAATGATCCATGGACGAAAATGAACTGGAACCTTCTGCTGAATATATTTTAGAATGAAACTTTCAAACATTTAAGTGCTGGAGAACAAGTTAGAAATAAATGAATGTAAAAATAATTACAAATACTTAGTAGGCTAAATATTTATAATATGTTGATACTAATTTCTCTTTTGGTCCTAACATACACTCACTAGGAAATAGATCTGTACAATTCAGATGAAAATTTTGCCAAATAAAGTGAAACAAAACTAAAGTCACTAAGATATAAAGTCTCTGTCAATTAAAAATCACCAGTGGTGATATACTCTTCAGGTTGTTGATCGCTTTAATCAACAAATTGTTTGGAAAACAAAATTTGCAACATTTTTGTAGGAACTGCAGACCAAATGCACAAGGTCAAGGGTGGTTAGCTGATGGACTGTGATGACAATATGTAATGTCACAGCTACTTGAAAGTGCTGGAAGAGGCAGTGCCTTAGAAACAAGTGGTTAGATGGTTATTATTTTAGTCAGAAAACAGCAGTTACAGTCGAATATTTATGAAAATGTTTTTCCTTTTTTTCTCATAGTACCATTTGAAGACGTTTAGTGGTTCTAACACCAATTTAAAGTCTTTCCACAAAAATGAACTCCAAACCTTTTCGTACATCACTTGAAGTTATCTGAGGAGAAATGGGAATAAATGAACACTTTTGAGTTTACCAATAAAACCTTGTTTTAAAAATTATACAACAGTAAATCACTTCTAAAGGATGGTTTCACCTCAAGTTTCCACACAAATAAAAACATGTGTGATACTCAATCACAACATTTAACCTACTCAGTACTCAAACTAAGTATACTGCCTAGAACCTGAATCCCAAACTAATTTAATACTAATTAAATATATTAAATGCCTTAATACAGGGGACACAGGTACTGAAGGTAAACTTTTAAAAATATAGATAGACTTGCAAAACCAAGTAGAGGGAGTCTACTCCTTATTTCATATTGCATTTTAAAAATCTACATTTATTCCAAAACCTTCTAAAAAAGTGAATTTTTTTCTTTTTTCCCAATAGGGATTTTCCTTTTCTTGCAACGCACCACCACAAAAAAAGATAAAAAAAAAAAAAAAAAAAAAAAAAAAACCTACTTAATAATATTAACTATGTTGAAATGATCACAAAAAGTCTGTTTAAACAAAAAGGGAAAAGTAAGATTTTGAACCTAAATAATCACTTTTTCCGCAGATCAAAACTAAAAACAGTAACTAACACACACTCCTAAGGAGAAGGAAAAAAAAAAATCCAAACTTTTATCAAGTTCCCCCCTTTGACTGGAAGCACTATGTTAAACATAAATAATAAATGCTAATTGTTCTAAATTCAATTTGGGGATTTTCTTTTTCTTAGTGCAGCACTTTATTTAGCCGTCACAGATTAATTTTTACAATAATTACAGTGCCTCAAAAGACTTTTTTCCTATAATTATCGCCTTCACAAATTCATTCTAATATATTTAACTTTTCCTACAATGTATTCATTAGTAGACTAAGTCACTAATCAAATTAAATCTGTGCAAAGTTAGTTAAACAGAAGACTTCTATTGTAAACATAAGCCAATATAAACGTATATATTTTACAACATTGAGAGGAAAGCACTGACCCTGTGCCATCTACCTAGAACTATAATGCATTGTCCTGTGGAAGATAAGTTCTGAAGTTAACTTTTGTTCCCAAGCCACTGGAATAAAGGTCACTGAAGAGGTAAATGCAACATGCACATTACTCTTGCAGTTCCCAATGCCATAAGATATATGGAAGCAAACATGTATTAAAATGGAACCAGCTATAAATTATGGTCAAATGATTTTTTTTAGTTCGATGGGGGGAAAAAAGCAAAACTCTGTAACTGTTCCTCACCAGACAAGAGCCTTAGATCTTGTACTTCGGCCTTTGGTTTTGTTTCCTTCAGGTGAATTGGAAGCATTTGCCTTATGAGTTTTCTTATGATGTTCAAGATAAGTCTTTTTGGCAAATGCCTTTCCACATTTATTGCATCTGTGAAGAGAAAAGTTTTTTGTGACTTTTACTTCAATACCAACGTCAGCTACTTCATACTTTTTACTAGGAGAGTTAGAAGTGCCATCATGTTTTGAATCACTATGTTTTGCCTCATCCCTCGAAGGGCCTCTTTTTGCCACTTTATTTAGAACAAAATCAATGGGCTTCTTTATAGCTCTGATCTCTAAACTGGCTGTTATTTTCCCAAGATAGCGGGATGACTTTTTATGAACCACAGTTATATGTCGTATCACATCGCGCTTCCGACGAGTTTCATAAGTGCAAAGAGGACACTTGTAGAATTTAACATAAATGTTATTCCCATCTGTGTGCAACTCAATGTGTTTAGTCAAGTTCTGTTTGGAAGTAAACTGACGTTTACAAAGTTTACAGTAAAGTTGCTTAAAGTCAAAGCCAGCTGAAAGTTTTGGTTTCCTGGTTTTCTGCTGGCCACCTGCAGCAGACGGACTAGTTGATTTAGGGCTTTCAGAGTCTTGTTTAACTTTATTTTTCTGTGCTGCCGGTGTGTTCTTTTTTTCATTTGAATGATTTGTTCCCTTTAATTCATTCTGTGGAGAATGGGTAATGGAAGGGGGTGAAGATTCTACAGAATCTGCTGGTTCAACTTTAACTTTTATTTCTGAACTGCTGGCAGTATTATTAGGGCCTTTCTCTCTTTTAGAGTTTGTTCCAGAAAGAGTTATCTTGTGGACAATTTGCATATGTCTTTTAAGCATTATTTGTGAACTATATTTCCTCTTGCAAAGGAGGCATTTGCATGCAGTTAAATTGTATTCAGCCTTTGAAGACGACTTTTGTTTTCGAGTCTTAAAAGATTTTTTAGGAGAAACAGAATCCAGGAACAAAGGTTGCCCAGGCTTTGTTGCTATATCAGGAGTAATTGAATCCCTCCTTAGTCCTCTATGAACTTCATCAAAATGCCTCCTTACATTCGCTTTTGTAGCAAATGATTTACAACATACTGGACAACTCCTACTTAATGGAACTAGAACATTCTTACTGCGTCCTTTAGAGGACTGGTTTGGATTCTTTCGTGTTTCAATGTACTTTTTTAGTTCTTCCATCTTTTTCTTGTGTACTTTTCGAATGTGACGACGAACACCTCGTCTGGAATTGAATTCTTTTCTACAAAGACAACATATCAACTGGTGACCAAAATCAGAATTGTCAGAAGTTTCCAAGTCAGCCTGTGATTCCTGAGGTTGCTCATCAGATGTAGGTGCAACTTCATCTGCAACAATCTCAACAGGAGGGGGCTCTACAGTTTCCACCTCTGTATCTATAACTGGTACTGTTTTAGACTGTTCAGTGCTAGTTTCCTGTATTTGAACTTCGGTTTGTTCAGGAGTACTGCTTGACTCTGTGACTTCAGTAGGATTATCAGTCCTTGAAATATACTGAAACACTGCATTTTGATTAGTTTCTATGGGTTCTAGCTTAATAATATATTCTCGCTTGTCCACACTTGGATATATGGCTTCTAGGAGATCGTTTATGGCTTGACTTTGTTTATCATTTACATCAGGAAGGTCTGTTAAGAAAAAAAACAACATTTTAATCTGAAATAATTAGCCTGCTCTAGCTCTCTAATATTTAAAGTTGTATTATGAACTTCTACCTTAAAATTTATTACATTACTGGTTTGTATTTTTTTATAAGAGCATTATCTACTTTTCTGTATTTTATAATTTATACATTTAATGTAGTTTTACAAAAATTAGTATTAATTAAACTAAAATTAATTTAAAATCTCATCATGGCACACAAATGTTAAGGAATAAATGCAATCTGAAGAGCTACTTCCACTTCTAAGTGCCCTTAATACAAATACACGAGTGTCCTAAACAATAAAAACAGTATTTCAAATTTTTAGTCTAAAATTTTTAGGCTCGCAAAGGCACATCAAAGTTCTTACAACCCAAGATGGATAAAACATCATGAAGAATGTACTATTCTATATAAAAGTGATTCTTTTTTTAGGAAACATAACAGCAGTCCTATTAACTTAATCCATAATAAATAATCTAGTCTACTTGTATAGACATCTGATAGAATTGGAAAAGAAAAATATGTAGGATATAAATATGAATGACATGTATAGAAGTGCTAAATTCAGTCCTATTCAATGTTTTCTTAACATGACACAATACCATTAAAGCAAGTGATTAAAAACTATAGATTTTTACTCAAAAAACAGAGGTAGTTTTATTTGTACAATAATTACATCCCTTATGGGAAACCAAATATTCCTATTATATATCCCAGAACTATCTAACACTAGTTATGTTTCCACACACAACTCTAAAATCTGGCCACAAATACAGCATGAAATCTGGCTATCCATTTAGAAATCAAGAAATGATTCACTATTGCTCTTCTAGTGATCTTCCTAATTAAAATGGATAAAGGAGTGTCTACAGGAAGGATAACACTTTCACAGAAGTATTTCTAGAGTGAGTATTGCCAAGAGAAGTACACAATAATCCAACAAATCCATTTATCTATATGTCTAAAAGTCAACTCTACACTAAAAAATTGCAAAGAATAACTATCAGAAATAACTAATTTTCTACTAGTACTTCAATTATTAAAAGGTCAGGTTTAAAACTTATCCCCATAGACTGCCTTTTCATTTATATCTCAATGATTAAAAACAAGTATAGCAAGATATAACAGTGGTAAGAAAAATTTCCAAATAGAGGAATTTTTGTTTCAATTATGTGCTATAATATACTTTATATCAGCTTCACGCTAGTAATTAAAGTGGTACTTTAGATATTTGGAGTTTTCATTTCATTCCCATCCCAAAAAAGTTAAATTGAAAAGTACACAAAATCTATAATGCAACTATAGTATCAAACCGAGAAAACAAATTCTGTAAATTTGTAAGTCCGCAAAGAGTTAAACCCCTGAACAAGACATAATGAATGTAACCTATTACTTAATAAAATATTTTAAGGAACTTGTACCGGTTCTTTATAGCAAGAAAATAATACCATTATGTATACTGCGTACTTAATCGTACATGGTCGGTATACTTAATCCAACAAACATGTGGCTCCACAAAGACATTATTAGCCTCAACCTGCCTCTGTCACATAAAGCTATTTCAGATCTCAAGCTAGCCTATAAGACAATCTAATTTCTGATAAAATGACTAATCTATAAATAAATTTAACTGAGAACAAAACTAATCTTCAAACCAAGACCCAGAAAAAAATGGAAAGATTAATTTTTTTTTTATTTGTTTTTTTTTTCAACGTTTATTTATTTTTGAGACAGAGAGAGACAGAGCATGAACGGGGGAGGGGCAGAGAGAGAGGGAGACACAGAATCGGAAACAGGCTCCAGGCTCTGAGCCATCAGCCCAGAGCCTGACGTGGGGCTCGAACTCACAGACCGCGAGATCGTGACCTGGCTGAAGTCGGACGCTTAACCGACTGCGCCACCCAGGCGCCCCTAGATTAATATTTTTTAATGCTCTTCACCATCCCCAAGAAATCAACTCATTTACTCATTCTTTGCCCTATTTCTAGCCTCATTTACTTAACAGTAATCTTAGTAAATTAACAGTCATATGTAAAAAGTTGTTAAAGAAGTGAAAATGAAAAATATCAATAGTCCCTTCAAGCACTCATATTTTAACTTAGAAAAATCCTGAATATATACTATCTGGTCTACATAAACATTCAAAAACAATACCCAGTATTTTAATACAAATAAATATACTCATAAATCGAGCCTCCTATATCTTTAGAAAAACCGAAGCAAAAAGCGCTCATATGAAAGTACCTATCTAAGAAAATGAATAAAACATTAAGTCGAGTGTTTAATTTTATTCTCCATCATTAAATTATCAATACCATTTTAACACAAACATACAGCTACAGTATATGAATACTTAACTAACTATAAAATGCATAACTGAATATATGAATAAAACTTACTGTCATCCATCTGGAGACTTGGTGGGCAGTAGAATTTTTTATGGGTAATTAAATTTGGTAATCCTCTGAAGAGACTGCGGCATAATTTGCATTCAAAAATAGTGTCCACGTCTTTTAATAAAATATGCTTAAGTTGTTTAGTTCCTGAAGGAAAAAAAAAAAGAAAACACAAAAGATAACTTTAACATGCACTTTTAACTGGGCAACCACTGTTGACAATCCAAAGTGCAATTACTCTTTGAAAATAAAATACAGACATTGCCAACTTCTACGATAGTGTATTCGGAACTAAGTTATAAACTAAATTTTAAGCAAAATCGCATCATCATTTGAATATTATGACAGCTAAAACTGATATTCTTTTTCTAATTCAGCAGCCAATCAATTCTTAGGATATCCCAACAGTCACTCCAACATCTGGTTGATCATCACAATGACCTGGGAATAAAGATGTACATGACCCACCTCCAGAGATTCTGATTCAATAGATCTGGAATGGGAAAGAAGAATTAAACATGCCCCTTCCTCCCCTACCCCCTTTACTCCCTCCCAAAGTATCTGGCTGGTTCCTACAGCTCTCTTCTGCAGTGAAATGAAGATGGAGTTCTGTAATACATTTTCCCCTGATTCCTTAAAGAAAGTCAGAACTGTGTCCCAAGACTGCCTGTGACTTTTTTAAAACTCAAATTACTTCAGGTTCTAGGCCAATATGGAATTCTGGCCATTGAGTGTGAGAGTACAGAATCCTTATCCATAACATGAATTTTGCTTAGGCCTCTTGAGACCACTATACATTTATTCAAATTCTTTCTCCCTCAAAAACTCACTTCAAGTACAATTAATTAAATACTGATAGTTCTACACTTTAAACTAACTTAAAGCCTGTCTTCCCCACTAGATTATAAACACCAAAGCAGCCAAAACCAAACCTGTCTTATTTACAACTAATGTGTTCGGCTCTCACAATGCTCAATAAAGATAAGTTGAAGAAATGCCACAGATCTAGGGAATCTAAGCATTATGACAGAAGGTCAAAAGGCAAGAAAAAAAAATAAATGGCAACAAGCATTAAAGTAAATGGCAACAAGCATTAAAGTAAATGGCAACAATCTTTAAAGTAAAAATATCTGCCAGGAATAAAACACAAACAGATCTTTTGTCATTATTTCCTACAAGGTTTTGCCACAGGTAAATTGACAAAATTGATCTGCAGTGCTTTACTAATTTCCTCAAATAAAAAAGATGATAATGATATTGACTTAAACTAAAGAGGAAAAAACAAAAGTGTCTTGAAAAACAACTTTAAGGGGCGCCTGAGTGGCTCAGTCGGTTAAGCGTCCGACTTCGGCTCAGGTCACGATCTCGCGGTCTGTGAGTTCGAGCCCGGCGTCGGGCTCTGGGCTGATGGCTCAGAGCCTGGAGCCTGCTTCCAATTCTGTGTCTCCCTCTCTCTGCCCCTCCCCCGTTCATGCTCTGTCTCTCTCTGTCTCAAAAATAAATAAACGTTATAAAAAAAAAATAAAAATTAAAAAAAAAAAAGAAAAACAACTTTAAGACTATCTAGGTGCAAAGTGTTCTATCACTCAGCAAGCACTTGACACTCTGTTAAGCTCTGGGACTACTAAAGAGCAAACACACTTTACTATCCACCTTGTAAAATGAACAAACCAAACCAAACGTATTTTACAGAATCATGAAAGAAAACATGAACCTAAATCCCAGAAAAATTAAATTACACATCTGGGTTTCTACTGGAAAAAATATATATATATAATGAAATTATTTCCACCATTTCTCAAATTCAAATCAATGTTTACTGCACTAAACCATATTACCACAAAATCAGAAAACACAAATTTAAAAAGATTCAGAGGACAGCTTGAGTATATTCTTTATATAAAAGTAAACACACACACACACACACACACACACTTTATTCCACTTCACATTACAAAATATATTGACAATAGACTGCTAACATATTTAGTTCATAATCTCCTAAGTGACAAACTATGAGAGGTAGACTAATGATAAAAATATTTTAGATAAACCTCTCTACTTGATCTACCTATAATTCCCAAGTACGGTTAAGTGTAGTAAAGTAAAAAGAAAACATAGAAAGTTTTTGCACACTTCAATTCTAAATTAAATTACCTGCTAGACCCATACTAAAGATTCAATTCTGCCTTTAAAGATAGTCAAAAAAGATTGAAGAGCAATGCAAAAATAACCTGAACTAGGTTTAACGTTAAGAATTCAGTTGAAGATTTAAATAGAAAGTATGAGGTTATACATAAAAAAGTTACTGCTAAAAATATAAGACTGCATCCTTAAATCAGAGCTCTCACTTTGTCTGTAAGATTCTCTCAACCATAAAAAAGTCTATATCTATGTATAGATTCTTATTTAGTCCTAGTTATAGAGCTAGTTATATTCAGTAGAGTGTATATCTGCTCCCAGTAAACATCCCCCTAAAACAAGTCTCTAGCTCTAACCTGAACCAATCAATCTTAATACTCATTCACAAATGCTCCCCCCACCCCACCCCACCCTACCTACACACATACATGCACACACACATCAACATGCACATGCACAGACACAAACATGTCGTGTTGATCCAGGTACATCAAATTTCTTTCAGAGCCACAGGTTCACCAATTTCTCGCTCTCTCACTTTTCAGGCCTTCACCTAGGTTTTTCTCTCTGCCTATAACAATCTTCCATTTCCCTGGTCTGGCTCACTTCCAGCAATCCTTCAAATTCCAAGTTAGTTGTTTCCTCCAGGAAGCCTTCTGATCACTCCTGTTTTTTTAAGAATTCTTCACCCCTACTCCCATAGCACACTGTACATCTATACTATATTATTCCACTATCTTGTAATTATTTTTCTGTACTCCCATTGAAGTGGAAGCTCAAAGAGGAAAGAGAAGGTATCTTTATTCTTCCCACTGTATTCCCAGCCCTCAGAATCATGCCTGACTGATGTTTGTCAAATGACATATTGGAGAACTCTATGTTAAAGAAAACCTTCTCTATAAATTAAACTTTCTTTTAGCCTATTGTAAAGTTGACTGGGAAGTCAAGAGACTTCAAAGATTTTTTTTTTTTAATGTTTCATTTTATTTTTTGAGAGACAGAGCATGAGCAGGGGAGGGGCAAAGAGCGAGGCAGACAAGGAATCCAAAGCAGGCCCCAGGCTCTGAGCTGTAGGCACAGAACCCGTAGGACTTGAACTTCACCATGAACGTGAGGTCATGACCTGAGCCAAAGTCAGACGCTTAACTGACTGAGCCACCCAGGCACCCCTAGACCTCAAAGAGTTTCTAATTCAACTTCTACATTTTACAAATGAGAAAAATAAGAGGTCATCCATTCCATAAATACAGACAACAGAAGTTTTTCCCTAAGTTAGCAGTTGCCATTTAAGGTTTTGTTGTTTTTCCCATGCGGTCATAATGGTCTAATCAGCTACTATTTTCTTATTGCTTTGCTCACTAACAATTAGGCACAGGCAATCAACTCTGCCTCTGTCAATAGCTAAAACTTTCTACCACCTGAGACAACAACAGACATGGTCATCTAAACAGCAACATAAAGTTCTTCCACAGCTCTTGATTCAGAAAGAGCCAGGGTATCTTACTCCTAATTATTCCTTTTCCGATATTAATAACTTTTTCTTGCCTCAGGTTTTAAAACTATCTTAGGATGCACTATTTACTGCTTACATAGATCATTAATCAGTATCCTTCCAAAAAACCAGCCCTCCAAAGGGTAAGTTTTTGATGCCTAGAAATTAGCTAATTAGTGAATATTTCAGATTCTCATAATAGGTGCTCATAAAAATTACTTAAACCTCATCAAGGATTTAGTCATGTGCTATTCCTTAATGTCAAATATTCTGTATGTACTGAGAAAAATGTTTACAAGATTTTTTTCAAAAGAAATCAGTATTCAGTTTTACAGTAGAGTAGATTGCACTCACCTTACATGATGTGATATTAATTATAACTCTTCTGTGCTAGAAAGATAAGCTTTCATTTTTTTCTTAATATATGAATATGTTGGTCAATGACCATTTTAAATTGTGGCAATAATGGATTTTTAAATGTTTATGTATTTATTTTGTGAGAGAGAGCATGTGTGCATATGCACGCACGTGGAGGAGGAGCAGAGAGAGAGAGAGGGAGACAGAGAGAATCCCAAGCAGGCTGGGCACTGTCAGCGCAGAGCCTGATGCAGGGCACAATCTGTGAGATCATGAGCTGAGCCAAAATCAAGAGCTGGACACTCAACCAACTGAGACACCAGGCGTCCCTAAATTGTAGCAATAATTATTTTTAAGTGGTATACTGTTTGCTTTATTGATGATTCACACATGAGCTCAATCTTTTTTAGCATGACTGTTTAAACACAGTATCATCTCAACACTGCAAGCAAATCCATAATTTGTGTCAAAACTGATTTTCAAGGCCAGTATACAAAGGAAATTTCTAGCTGATCTTCTCTTAACAAAAGTTCTCGAAGGTAAAAAACAGGGAAAACTTAAGAAAATTTTAATTATTATCTTAAAACCAGCTGGTTAAAAAAAAATTACTAGGTTAATTATGGAACACTGCCACACACTACAGTAAATTCATAAGTAGAATAAAATTATTCCAGGGCCTACTTGGTGAATCTTTTAGTTTAACAAACATTTACTGAACACCTATTAAATATTAGGTCACAATGCTATTCACTGGAAACACAGAAGTGAAGGATCTGATCTGTGCCCTTAAGAAATTTCCAAACTAATATAAATGACTGCTCTCCTAGGAACACAGCCCCAGATGATATGCTTTGAAGAAGAACGTAAGAACAACAAATCAAACAAATAAATCTACACCTTTCTTATTCATCCAAAAAAATATCTAGTCTGATTTTAAATTTCCTACAGTTGTATGTAACAACCAAAAAACAAAAACAAAATCCATGGCACTCTCTTATGTATCTATGATAAATCATACTTCCAAGCTAAGTTTTTGTTTGCAGAGTCAGGACTGAGGGAGGCATCACCATCCAGTCACAGCTTACACTAAATACAAGTAATGTTGCTTTAAATAGTACAAAAACAAAACAAAACAAACTCTTCTAAGAAGTTAAATGACCAAACCTAAACTTAAGATAATGGCAATAGCAAATATCACAAAAGCTAATTCTCATTTTTCACCACAATTTACTCCTCCCTAAGATTCAGAAAAGATGTCCTTCCTTGCACAGTACTGTATTCTATAGGCAGAATCTTTTTTCTACGATATTATATATTACCTCTTTTTTCAATATTATATATTACAAGGATTCAAAAAAAGGTATCAACTTCATATTAAAGACCAGTTTTGAATACCAAACTAAATAATTATCATTCTCTTTTCTCTCCATTTTTCTGTTTCTACCCTTAGGATATTCAATAGCTCCTTTGCCTCTAGCAGAAGGCTGAGAGACTAAAAAAGACTATTAAGCTCAATCAAATCAATTTTAATAAACGTCTCATGCAAGTACATCTTTTTGTTGTTGTTGTTGTTGTTGCTGTTACTTAAAATTCTGCTTCAGTTTGGGGAGAGAGATCAGGAAGGAAGGAAGCTAAAAGTGTTAATAGAAAGGAGGAAATTTGAGGATGCCAAGTCACACAGATTGATCCTAGAAGAACCAACACAGCTAAGGCAGCACTCAGGCAAAAGGCAGGGCCCAGTCAAGGCAGTACCAGAAGCCAAGGATTCAGAGCAAACAGTATGTCTCAAAGTCACCCAACCATTAGGGATTTCAGAGTAGAAAATCTATAGTATGTAGCAAAATAGGCAGCCTAAAATAATAAGGCATCTCTCTACGAACAGATGTCAAACAACAGTGAAATGTACTGTTAAAGCAAAAATACATAACAGGGCGCAGAGTCAGCTATTACTCATACCGGGGGGGGAAATGAGGGCTATATGTATAGACAGCCTTGGAAGAAAACACACAAACCCTGTAGCAATGGTTGCCTGAGCAAAGAGACTCATTTTTACATTTTTTATATCCTTTTGTACTTCATTATTTTTTTAAACCACAGGCATTTATGACTTAATCCAGTAACATTATTTATTCCAATATAGGAATATTACTTAATTCCAAAAAAAAAAATCTACTCAAATTAATTTACAAGTGAAGCAGCCAGAAATAAAGAGATATTAGAGGTCAAGAAGGATAACTTAAAGCCAGCAAAACAGTCCAAAGCAAAAACTGAAGTGTGAGGCAAAGAGAACAAGTCAAACCTGATCAAGCAGTCAGTATAGCACACAGGGGGCTGTGGACTTGAAAAATGAGAGAACTCCTTCCTCAGCCTTTTATGAACTTCCAGCTTGGGTAGGAATTCATATCAGATCATAGACAGTCCAGTGTAGGCTGAAGAAGGTGAGTCACTTAGAGATGATACAATAGCTGAAGACAACTAACTGAGCTTAAAGATTAAGCTAGATATCCTAAGACATTACTAATACCCAACCTGATTTAGTTTCTATAGGTTAACAAGAGCAAAAGCATGGACTTCAGATGGTTCTTTAAATGCAATGTGTGTGACCCAGCTGTAAAGGAAAGAGCCTAGAAAGATTTGAGTCACTGAAGGTGTGGTTGGGAGTAGAATGGAACCAGGAGGAACTTACAGGATGAGAATGGATCTTGGTCCCTAAGTCATGCGGGCCAAGCTTCCATTCTATCCACCCCAAGTTTCAGTCAGCCAGGACCTGGATACTTCAGTGCTAAAGAGCTATCTTAGTAGATTTTAGATTACACAGATATGTGAGAGATTACGATCCTGAGGAAATTAAAATTGCTTAGTACTGAGATGCATTAACGAAGTAAAAAAAAAAAAATCTTTTTTTAAATACAGAGTTAGTTTCTTTGTATCGCTAAGCATATTTCTAAATCACTTCTAATTTAAATTAGCGGGTACCTTAAATTTATAGTACTTTCAAAATTTGCCTAAATAAAACATAACTCAGAAGGCAAATCTGCTGGGGACATTTAAAAAAAACATTTTACCCATTTCACGGACCCTTTTCTTTAGCTCTGATTGTAAAGAAATAGCAAACACAGAAAACAGATATGACCACAGTGCAAAAGAAAACAATTTCATTTTTAAATATTTACCTTCCACAGTTAAACACAGATTCTAAACACAATCTTCTTGGAAAGGGATATTTTACAAGACAAAGCATTTATGAATGAACCAATTCTTACTTAATCAAATAAGACTATAATAAATTGAAGTAGTATAAAATAACCTTATTAATTTCAAATTCTGGATTTTTAAATTTTATTCAAATTTTATTTACCTAACATAGAGTGCAATATTGGTTTCAGGAGTAGAATTCAGTGATTCATCACTTGAATTCAATACCCAGCACTCATCACAACAAGTGCCCTCCTTAGTACCCATCACCCATCTAGCCAACCTCCTACTCACCTCCTTTCATCGACCCTCAGTTTGTTCTCTACCATTAAGAACCTCTTGTGGTTTGTTTCCCTCTCTTCTCTTCCCCGGCCCCCCACAGTTCATCTGTTTTGTTTCTTTAATTCCACATATTAGTGAAATCATATGGGATTTGTCTTTCTCTGTAAATTCTGGATTTTAAAAACCTACAGCAAAGAATGTAACTAAATGTGACAAGCTATTATCTTCATTTCCAGGAGAAAGTGCAAAAGAATTATTTCTCTATTAAAAGTAGCTAACAAAAACTCTTATACTACAAAAACTAACCATTCTCCTGTTATGCCAGAAATATATTATAAATACGGCTCCTAATAAGTAAAATTGTAGTTGTCTTTACTAAAGGAAAATCTGACTCATCAGTTACTTCTGTTAATGAAGGGCAACTATCAAAAGTAAAAAAAAACAAAAAACATCTTTAAGTAGGTTTACCACCTATTTAGGTAAACCTAAATAGGTTTACCACCATCCAACATGAGCAAGGCATGTGTATACACTCAATACTTAACTAAATTAAATATAAATAAAAGCAATGCCATGAGGACTATAGATGAAAAGTCCAAGAAATAGATATTATAAAGTGAGAAAACCTTTTTTATTTTAGATTAAGGAACAATCTATTTCTTAGATCCTAAAATAAAACAAATAGATGCCACTTCTCTTTACAATGACTTAAAAGCAAGCACCTCAAAGAATTTATTAATACAAAACAAGTTATTACATATAAATTATCTTTTCCTTTGAATCTTAGAAATTTTTCATTAAAATAGTAAGCTTTAGAATGATAACAAAAGATATTCTAATCTTCTAAGTTTCCATCAGTTAGGTGTCCCATCAATCATGTGTGTCTGCTTATTTATATCTAACTCAACAGTCTACGACGACGTCAAAGAAGCCAAATCTACAAAAGGTGGATAAGTGGATTATAAGAATCAGAGCAACCTAAGATCTTACTGATAACACAGTTCTGACAGTTCTCAATTATGTATATGTAGTAAGCAACAACTATTTTAAAGCATTGGATTGCACCTGCACAAGCACCCTTATTATACATGCAATTACTATAATAATCTAATAGAAAGAAAAGCTAAACACTTGCATCCGAAGATCCCAGGGCTGGAGTAAGTATTTTTCCTATCTTGTGCTCTATTTAAGATATTGAAACTCCAGGGTTAGGCCAAAGAAGGGGAGTCACATAAAGAGTGATGATAATAATTAATCTACGATAAGTGACATCTCAGACGCTGTGAATAAACAGTCTACTCTGCCAATGCTTTTAAAGACCCAGTAGAATTCACCTTTGAGAGTTTATAAAGAATATGCCAAAAAATAAATCATTAAGAGGCACTTTACCAATAAAAATACCACATATATTTCTTTATAATAAACAAGCTTATTTCCATATTAATATATAATACATAGTACTGAAAAAGAATCTAGATCAAGTCAATATTCATCCACTTTTTTAAAATATGGCAATTAAAAGTATTCTATAAAACCAATGTATACATTTTAATATTTAAAAAAAATTAATTCTAAGGATTTCTAGGTAGTTTTTAACTACGATGTGAAGGTTGAAAAATACATCCTAAAACATTCATACCTGATCGAAAGCACTCAATTATTTGCTGAATACCAGATTTGGATGTCTGTAGTGGTTGCTGTAACAAAGGAGCATCTCCAGGTTCCAGGATATAAACTACATGGAAGACAAACACCCACCCCAATCCCCACAAAAAAAGGGTTATTTAAATCATTTACTATTAAAGTAAAACAATGGTTTGCTACAATCATGTTAACGATAATCACACTTGTTTGTATATATTTCACCAGCATCTTTGTAAGGCAAAATGAAATAATGTGAAAAAATAAAGTTACCCTCAATTCAAGGCTAAATTAAAGCTACGTAAGGCTTCAAATACAAAGATTTACTATTTTGGCATTACTTAGTACCTATTTGTCATGTCTGCCTTTTTATTCCCCTTGAAGAACTACTGTATTTAACCAAAATTCTAGGGCAATCATGGCCTAGCCACATCTCATAAACCATTCCAAAACCCTCTGGACAATCTAGTACAAATGTACAGGCAATACTCAAAAACCACTGCCTAAGGAAAGAACTAGTGAAGTGCACAATGATAGATGTTCAAAAATGTTCACTGCAGCACTCTGTAGCGCTGTAAATAATTCAGAAAAAAATTCAAATTTAAAAGTCTCTCAACAGGAACCAGACTAAATAAACTATGAAATATCCCTACAATGGAATCCTTCATGGCTGTTAGAAAGCATGAGCTAGATCTACATATACTAACAACAAAGAACGTCAGTAATAGATTAACCAACAAAAACAGGTTGTGGAATATGATCTCACTCATATTAATGTGTATTTCAATAAATACAGAAAGAAGTTTAACGTACATGTGTGTATGTACAGACGTTAATATAAACACAAAAAGTCTGGTGGGATACCAACAAAACAAGGGTTCTGTCGGCGGGTTTTACAGGGGTGATTTTCACTTTCTGCCTCATACTTCACTAGTGCTTCAGAGCCTGCCTGGGCTTTTAGAAGAGTGCATGCTAGAAAAAACACATTTCTATAATGAGTAAAAATAATATTTCCACTTTAAAAATAAATTTTTTCGGGGCGCCTGGGTGGCGCAGTCGGTTGAGCGTCCGACTTCAGCCAGGTCACGATCTCACGGTCCGTGAGTTCGAGCCCCGCGTCGGGCTCTGGGCTGATGGCTCGGAGCCTGGAGCCTGTTTCCGATTCTGTGTCTCCCTCTCTCTCTGCCCCTCCCCCGTTCATGCTCTGTCTCTCTCTGTCCCAAAAATAAAAATAAACGCTGAAAAAAAAAAAAAAAAAAAAAAAAAAAAATTAAAAAAAAAAATAAAAATAAATTTTTTCATTTTCATATACAAAGGTCTCTTCCAAAATTCTCAGGTTCACAGTGTAATTATGTAATAAATTAGATTATGATAAAAAGTAACTGCGAAGGAAAACTGAGTTTTCCCATCAGATACCAAATAAAGACATGATTGTGGTACAAAAAACCAGCCACTTTAATTAACTCTTTTTTCAGTATGTTATAACGTTCTACTCAACTATTACCATCTTAAACCCAGGATCGTCCAGTCTGTGGGAAAATTAAGAGGGAAAACAATGATGTGTGCTGCTACTGCTTCAGGACCTGGTCTTGGACAGCATTTAGCTTTCTGATAAGGGGGCTAAAGCTTGCTGTGCTCAGTATATACACACAGCCTTAGATTCTCTTTAAGTCTTCAAGTCTGGTGCTCAGTGGTCACCAAACGGGAGAGACTATGTCTCAGGACTAAGTGATTTTATTAAGTACACTTTCCCAATTTTAAGAGATACTCTAGGAGTATTTTAAATGAATCACCCACAATTCACTCTGAGAACACGGATATTGGTAGTGTTCTACCAATTGGTAGTCCAACTCTAGACTTGGACTTACTGCACCAAATTTTTTTTCTGACATTTATTAGATACAACTAAGGCAAATTAAACTCTCTGATCTCTTTTTCATCTCTAAAATGGGGATAATAAAAGTACCCAAATCACAGGGTTGTATGAGGATTAAATGAGTTAATGCAAGTAAACTAGTTAACCGGTTAAAACAAAGCCTATGTTATAGTAAGTGCTCAATAAATGTTCTATCACCACCACCACGACCAACATCATCATGTACAAATCAACTGCTTTCTGACACAAAAAACTGAAAAATTGTCTCCAAAATCTAAGAGAAGGAGAATTCAACCCCTTAAAGATACAATAGCAGAAGTCTGTAAATAAATCGATGATACCATTTATTGGGATTAGATGGATCTCTTTTCACTATTTGTACATTATAACATGTGACAAAAGTTTACAAAAAAATAGTAGTTAACTACAAAAAGAGGGTAAAAATTTTATAGTTGTAAAGAATCAAAAGCATCAAGGCTTGGCTCTATAAGTGACAAGAAATCTAGAAAGGGACAATAAAAAAACAGTAACGGATAAGGAAGGGATAAGGGGAAAAAATGATAACTCGTCCTGAGAGTCCCCTTTCCTCATTTAAAAATGCTCCAGAAAACTTTCTATAATACATCATCTTCCACTTCCACATGACAACATCTGATTTCAAAGCCAGAGCAAAATTTTGTTACCTAATCACCTTCAGAACACTGCTACCACGAGATACATCAACATGTGTGTAAGAACCCCAGGGTTAGCTTACTTATCCAGATACATCCACTTAATATACAGATCTGTGTAGTTCCCATTGTAAAAAAACAAAACAAAACAAACAAAAAACTTCTTCACTTGAAAATACACTCTCAACCCTAAAAAAATTTATATATTAGTACTTTATAAAAGTTTCCTTTCATATATCCCATCATCCCTCCCAAGATCAGTTTACATGACCATTAGGAAAAAAACCATCATCACCCTCCAATCAAAACACCAAACACTCAGAAGTTAACATCTGTCTTTACATCCTTCCAAGAACACATTTCTCAGAATCAAATACCTACTTTTGCAACAGTCTCTCCTAGCTTAAAACGAGTGCTTTAAAAGATCTTTCGCCTGGCATTTACTTACAAACAATAGAGCACAGGGAAGTAGCTGGAGGGTGGAGAAGGGAACTGCAGAGAAGGGGAGAATACATGACGAAAAGATATTGTCCATGTATTAATAACTGATGGGAGTTGTGTGTCGGTTATATCAGGTTCCTTATACCATTCTCTCTACTTCTGAATGTTTGAAAATTTCTGTCAGGAACATTCTTAAAACATAACTAAAAAAGTACTTCACATACACTGACAGGCTTATAACACCACCCTTCACTACGAATTGACCATCCTCTCAAGGCCTCCTCAGGAACACAGTGCTCTCATCCAGGAACCCTCCCCCACCCCCCAACCCCCATTCATAATTCAAGAGAATAGAACTCTGGTAATTGGCCATTAGAAGAATTTCTCAAACACCATATTATCTTCTTCCCTCCAACTGAAGGCATCTTCTTTCAAAAACTATCACATCATAACATATTCCTCTTGGTACTGGAAATATCCTCCCACTCAGCACATAACTTCCTCTGAAATAATGACAATTAACTACTCTACAGGTTAACAAACTTTTAGCTTTCCACCAAAGTAGTCTTTGGAAAGTGTTTAATTCTAGCTAAGAAAGCAAAGAGACACTAACTACTTTTGACCTGGTCACTGAAAAAGTTTCTCACAGAAGAAAGTTTAACTTTTAAAATTAATGCAACTTAGATGATTTGTTAATGAGGGAGAAAAAGCAAAGAGGTTCCAATACATATTAAAAAGTTCAACTGTGAGAAACATCTTTAAAAAGACACTGGAGTCTCTAGGAAACTTTAATTATCAGAATACACTAAATAAGGTACAGCCACAAATTATCTTATTTACTTTATATCCATCTCTTCCCACTCAAAAGTTCTATAAGGGAATGACCTTATCTGTTTTGTTCGCCACTTACATCCCCATTGCCTTGGACAGTACCTAGCACCTAACAGGTGCTCAATAATAACTTGTCAAAGAAATAAGGAAACAAAATGAACACACAAACTTCTTCCTAAATAAGAAGCTTTAACAAAATGATTTCATTAACTAATTCAACTTAAATGACTTGAATTGTTTAAAAAAAAAAAAAACACCCAAAACTAGAATAAAAGGTCAGTAGAACACAATTATAAAAGGCATTCACAGCCTTCTACTTCAAAACTAGCAAACTCCAATATTAAGTAAAACATAAATGACACACAAAATATGCAGTATGGAGGGGTGCCAAAAATCACATAGGTCAGGGACAGTTGAACAGAAACTGAGTCCCATCCTGGGACTATTTTATTAGCAGAAGTAAGTTATTACTGATTTCCAGCAAGCCAGTGGGGGGGATGGGTCACAGCAAATTTTATTCTCATGTGTACCAAAGTTTTCTGAAAATGGGAGTTCTTCCTCTTTACCACTACCATTTTTTTTCCCATTAGTCAAAAAAGTTCACTACTTGAAATGAAGTCTACTGTGATATAGGACCAAGTACACTGAAGCAGTTAAAATACTCCAACAAAAAACAAGCACAAGTGTAAAAAGTTCTAATACCTTTTAGGTCAAAAATAATGATAAACACCTGCCTTTAAACTAGAATAGCCTCTGTCTGGTCTGGTCACATATGTATTCAATGATTCCCTTGTAAGTTGTACCTCTATATGTTTGTGACAAAACACAACAAACTTCTAATAACTAGAAAAACTTAACAGTTTATATGCTCCATTTATCAAAGTTTTCTAATATTCTTCATGAGACTCAAAAAAGGAACTTTTTCATTCCATAAATCCAACTAAAAACAGTTCCACTGAGTACACTATCCTTATGGATCCTTAAGTAAAAACACTTATGTATTCTACCTAAAAAATCAGCTTTTTTTATTCTGCCATACACTGTGTTCTGTCCAAAAAAACTTTTAAAGGCTGCAGTGAGCAAAAAGCGGATTCTTCTAACAAGTTGAGTTTAACAAACTTTTTAGCCCAAACTAAACTCATTTTTTGGCTCTAACCGCTATTCCCTGATAAAAACGCATGAGAAACTTGAACTTTCAAAAGTTTAAATGAATCCACTTTCACGAAGACAAATGCTAGCATTCTATTACCTATTTTCTCCTTTCTCTTCAGTTTGAAACATTCAAAGGGCAAGGGGTATACTACTAACTGCAGGCTGCCTTGAAAGCAGGAAAAGGGACCGAGTGATTGATCTTGTGGAAAAGATTTAAGGTGACACTTGCAGTACTTTTTTTAAGGGATCAAGCAGGGGAAACCTCTTGTTTGTACAAGCTTTTAGTTTCATAACTAGTTTTATGCTGGGGAAAATTATAGCCTGCTTCCTTAGCAATGACTTCTTGGGCAGGAAGGAAACACAAGGCAAAGTGACCCTGACGGAGGGCAAAGTAACTGGAGAAGAAAGGAGTATACCTGGTTCACAGCATCCGTGATGATGGTGGTCAGTCTGACAGTATTTGTCCCTTAAAGGCATTTTCAGTGGGCGAGACCTACTTTCCTTTCACTGTAAGAAGCTCTTCATTGCGGCTTGGCTGTTGAAAGAAGCACAAACCCGTCACTCAGCCTGAACTTCCTGGGGGGGCTCTGGTTCTATTTTCCAGATACGTTCCCTCCACCCGCGCGCTCCGTTTTCCCTCCACGGACCCGCACCTTCCTCTAGAGCTGAAAAAGAAACATGCACGAAGGCTTCTCCAGCCCAAACTCCCGCACAGGTTCACCGCCCTACCCGGAAACGCAGCCCGGGGCGCGCAGCGCAAGGCGAGGGCCTGGCCGGCTGCGCGGGCGGC